TTCTACAATCCCATCGGGATATTTCAATGAACGATCAGCTAGCTGTAAAGTCATGCGAGTGCGGTTCAAATTTCCTAAGCCCAGTTTTAGAAACACAGACATAGGCATCAAATTAATACTTGCCCCCAAATCACATAAAGCTTTATCGAAAGTGGAATTGCCAATAATACAAGGAATAGTGTAACTCCCTGGATCTTTCATTTTTGGTGGTAGATTCGACTGAAGAATGGCACTGCAAGTTGCCGTGAGTGTCACTGGTGTGTCTTCTTCGATTCGAATTTTCTTGGATAGGACTTCCCTCATGAACTTGGTGTAGTTTGGCATTACCTCCAAGGCTTCTGCAAAAGGGATGTTGATTCGAATCTGCTTGATCTTTTCAATGAACTTCTTCAATTGATCCTTGAACTTCTTCTTCTTCTGTCTTTCTGGAAAAGGAATAGGAGTTACCAAAAGAGGGGGATTATCAGGAAAAGAAATGTTATTGGGCTTACTAGCCTCTTTTGTATTACTCCCTGAAACGGTGATTTCCGGCTCGACCGGGGTCGGTTGTACAGCTGGCCTTGGTGGTTCGTCTGTCGGATAAGGAGGATCGGTCATTTGCAGACCACTTCGGGTGGTTATGGCTTGACAGCTTTCTTTTGGATTGACTTCGGTATTGCTCGGGAATCCACCTTTTGCCATTGTGGACATGGATTGGGCGATTTGCCCTATTTGCTTTTCCATGTTCTTCATTGTTGATTTCAGCCCCTCCATTTCCTGTTCTTGTCGGTGAAGACGCTCGTCATACGTTGGCCCTCGTTGCTCTCTTTGATGGTTGAAATCGGGAGGTGGTTGTAGAGCATTCTTCGGATTGGCATAGGAGAAGTTCTCGTGATTCCGAATTCCCGGGTGGTAATGAGTAGGGTTTTGGTTCTGATTGTTGGTTCCTCGGAAATTGTTGAATCGGTGGTTCATAAAGTGTGCCTGCTCCCAATCGTCGTTTGTGGCTTGTGAGGTACTTGCTGCTGCTACTCGTTCGGTCTGTGGCCCTCGAACTGAAATTTGGGCGACCTGATTTGATAGGATCGCTAATTGTGCTGAAACTGCGGCTAAAGGTTCGAGCTGATGGACTCCGGCCACCTTTTGTACACCACTCCGTTCGGACGGCCAATGGTACGCATTCTCACACATTCGCTCGACAATGTCTCGAGCGTCTGTGGGAGTCTTGTTTTGTAATGATCCACCTGAAGCAGCATCGACTAGAGATCGGGCTGGTTGATCGAGCCCATTGTAGAATAACTCCATTTGATCCCACGGGTTGAATCCGTGTTGAGGGCATTGTCGTAATAAGTCCTTGAATCTCTCCCAAGACTCGTGCATCGGCTCTTGGCTCATCTGTCTGAAGTTGCCTACATCTCTTCGTAGTTGTGCGGTCTTCGAGGGTGGAAAGAATCGTGCCAGAAAGGCTTGTGATAATTCTTCCCAACAGGTGAGTGATCCTGGATTAAGACTCAGAAGCCAACTCTTCGCTTTGTCTCTGACAGAAAATGAGAATAGCTTCAACCGAATGGCATCATCAGAAACGCCGTTAACTTTGATCGTGTCACAAATTTCCAAGAAATTGGCAAGATGGAGATTCGGATCCGCAGTGGCTGCTCCGGAGAATTGGTTCGCCATGACCATGTTGATTAGCCCCGTTTTCAGCTCGAAGTTATTTGCGGCTATCGTCGGTTTCCTGATTCCCGAATAGTTCTCATTCATAGCTGGAGTTCGGTATTCTCGCATTGTTCGCTCGGGTGGCAGGTTCGGTCTTGGCTGCTCGTGATCTCGTCCTGGCTCTTGATCGTACTCAAAGGCCAGGTGCTCTGGATTTCCTTGATCTTCGGCCATTGGTTCACTTTGTTGGTTGCGCGTGGCCCTTAGTCTACGTAATGTTCTTTCAATCTCGGGATCGTAAGGTATGATTTCCAAATTTCGACGCCTGGGCATAAACAAAGTGAGTGGTTAAGATCAAGGTAAAAATCGAAAATAAAACAAGTAAATGGCTAAAGTAATACTCAGATAATTGGTAACACTATCAACATAGATAAAATCAAATTGGTCCCCGGCAACGGCGCCAAAAACTTGATACGCGTTTTCCTCACGTATAAATTACCGCAAGTATACGGTATCGCATTTTGCAGAACAGTGGTTCCGGATATCGATCCACAGGGACCTTGTAGATTCAAATGCTGAGTAGTGTAATTATATTATCGTTATATTATCTAGCCGATCGTAAATAAGTGGATTGGTGAGAAACCCTAATTTAAAAGCATGCAAGAACGTAAACATGCAAATATAAAATGTACGTAAAATAAAGTAACGACAACTCAACGCGGGGGACTTCGATTTAAAAGGGACTTCTAGGGCCAAATCCACCTAGGTATAATCAACAACGATCGACAAATCCACCATCTAAAATCACGTTCCTATTCGTTAACCCAGACGCTAATATACTCTAACCCCCGTCTCCAGTGTAGCTAGAGTCTACCCACAGGTCCGACGTCTCCGTTCAGAACCTGCTATTAAGAGAGCATTTAGGTCAAGTCCTTAAGGGCTACCCGAAGTGCATCACGTCTCCGTTTCCACACCCCGGGCTATGTTTTCCTAACTTCAAACAAGAAATCCTCTCTCGAGTTCATTCCTATTTAATATCAGTCTGAGAGCTGATCAACACAATCAGAAGCATTTAATACAGGAAAACATAAACGAAATCAAAACACGACAAATAGAAAGTAGAAATGACGATCGAAATCAATATATACAAGGCTTCATTACCCTAGAAGAAAATGTTCTTAGTTCATAACAAACATAGTATCAAAAGAATGTACAAAGGAAATGAAGAACAAAACGTAAAGAAATTGCGTAAGAAAAACCCAAGTCGGAACCCCCGTTGATGATTCCCGCGAAGAACCGTTGAAAACCGTAAAAAGTCGAAGAAGAATGAAGAGTGAGGGCTTGCTTCTATTTATAGTAAATTGCAAAGCTTCCTCAAGAAGCTTTGCAATTTAAAATATCTAGCCTTGAAAAACGCGCCAGATCGCGATCCAATAAAGCCAGATCGCGATCTGGCTTCTTTAAAAAAAACGCGAACCGCCTCCCAGATCGCGATCCAGGAAGTGCGGATCGCGATCTGGGTCTGAATCTAGTCTGCCACTGGAATTTGTCACCAGATCGCGATCCGACTTTCCTGGATCGCGATCTGGGTCTGAACTTTGCACACTACTGGAATTTGCCCCCAGATCGCGATCCGGCTTTCCTGGATCGCGATCTGGGTCTTAATGACCACTTTCTCGGCTTGAAAAAAATCGGTTTCGCTTCCAAATGGCTTCGACTTGGCAACAAAAGCTAACAAAACCTAAAAAAGGAAATAAAACAAGAAACGCAATAATATACACAAATAAAGCCGAAACTCGGACGAACGAAGACCAAAACTCGAAGATTTGATAAGCAAAAATCGTGCAAAACGAACACTTATCATGGGGCGAAGCGGAGGCTGAGGATATGGAAGGAGGTGAGACCGGAGAGGGTGTTCACCGGAAGGAGAGCGGCAGTTAGCTATATTCAGTGTATTTTTGGAAAATTGTAAATCAGTCCCTGACTTAAGGAAGAAGAGGGTTTTTCTGAAACTTCAAGGGACTGAACTGAAAAAACTGAAAACTTTATTTTTGAAATTTATAATGTAAAGGGTATTTGGGTCTTTTCACGTCAAAAAATCGAAGCTCAGTCGCATATTTGGCGAGTGCATCACACAACTAACTCGTAGGGACGTTAATGTTGTTAACTATGTAAAACAAAGAGGTATGTGCTACTTGTTTCAATACTGAGTCTTTTTTAGCCATTAGGTAATACACAGGAGTACCGGATGCTAAAACCTCTCTTTCGATCTCTTCTTCGTTCTTTTTTATTTCCCCATTTCCCTCTTTCCCATTTTCTTTCATTTACATGTTTTCCTTTTATTCTTCTCTCTCTTCCACAGTTACTCTATTTAACGTCTGTTTCTACTTCATTTTTTCTTCTTTATTTCTCTTTCTTCTTTCATCTCTCTTTTTTTTTCTACATACTATATATGTCATGATTTTTCGGAGGAGATGTGAGATTTTTATCATCGAAACTTCATTTTAGAACAACTTAATTTAGATTTTAAACTCAAAAATAATATAGGCAACTGATGAAAAATTTATAGTTGACTACCATTTCTTTATAGTTGAAATTGAAAAAATTATCGTTAACTATCCTATCTTTATAGTTAACTTTGACAATAGTATAGTTGATTTTGGAAACAATATAGTTGACTCTGGAAACATTTGTGCGTCTTGCTGTATTTTTTCTTCTCGGAAGATTAACTTTAGACCTGGTGCTCGGAATTCGGCGATTCAAACACTGTTGGATTCCTCTCGCCGAGATCTTTCTTTTGATTGTGACCTTGAACGATTCTGATCTCTGATTTTTGTTATGTAAAAGTCCTTTTGCGCACAATTTTTTGCTCATCGGTTTTTTCTCTTTCACCAGCGGCGATATGGCTTCTTGCAAGGTGAACGACAGTTGAGGGAGACGTTCTGGTAGGCTATATATTGGTGGAAGAGATGGATTGAGGTTCTTCGAGTACAGTAAAGTAGGGAGTTGTTTTCAAAGAGAAATTATAAAGAAAACAGTTTAACTAGTACAATTGAGGAGGTTTGACTTATTAAAAAAATAATATTGTAGAGTGTTTAGTTCTATAATAACATCAAACAAAACGAGAAGTAAATATAGAGAAAAAAAAAAAATGAAGTTATAGAAATAGGCAATTAACATTAGAAGTCCTGTAAAATCTATTACATATAACCAACAAAGGTCTTTGTTAGATTAAGACCACCTATCTCCATTTTTATTCATACATTTTTTAACTAATTATATTAAAATTCATAACCATGCATCATTTATTTCTATTACTAATACACACATACATACATGGCATTATACATATATCCAAAGATGATTTAGTTCTTTGTTTCTGCTTTGGCTTCACTTTCCACAAAGGCTTTTGCCTCCGCCGCACTGCCGCAGCATTTGCAACCGCCGCCACCATGTCCGTGTCCGCCGCCGTATCCACCGCAGCACCCAAATTTACAACCCCCGCCGCCGCCTCCATGGCCGCCACCACCTCCACCACCATACCCACCGCCGCCAGGTCCTCCACCGTAGCCACCGGATCCGCCATATCCACCACCTTGCCCACCACCTTGTCCACCACCGTATCCACCACCTTGGCCGCCACCTTGACCACCACCGTATCCACCACCTTGCCCACCACCGTTCCCACCTTGGCCGCCACCTTGTCCACCACCGTACCCACCTTGTCCACCACCGTTCCCTCCTTGGCCGCCGCCTTGTCCACCACCGTACCCACCTTGGCCTCCACCGTTCCCACCTTGGCCGCCGCCTTGTCCACCACCGTACCCACCTTGGCCGCCGCCGTTCCCACCTTGTCCACCACCGTACCCACCTTGCCCACCACCGTTACCACCTTGGCCGCCACCTTGACCGCCACCTTGTCCACCACCGTACCCACCTTGCCCACCGCCGTAGCCACCACCACCTATATTGTGCTCTGGCTCGACTTCATTTTCTGCATTTCAACCAAAAAAAAAAAACATTTACATATATATTTTTTTAAATAATGTTTTAGAATTGACTATATATGACGTCATAATTGAATTGTATTTCCATACCAGCTGCACGGCTGCAACAGTAACGGTTGCAACCGTAGCGGCCATATCCACCGCAGCACCACCTTCTTCTGCAGTAACCACCTCCGCCGCCACCTCCTCCACCTTGGTTCGGTTGCTTTAGCTCTTCTGCTGCCACCACCTCCACTTCGTTTTCTGCTTAATTTACACACAGTTAATTAAACACACAGTTAAACACACACACACACACACACACACACATATATATATAATATCTTACCTGAGCCTTGGCAACAATAGCGATTGCAGCCGTAGCGGCCCCATCCGCCGCAGCAATACCTATTCCGGCAGTAACCACCACCACCGCCGCCGCCACCGCCACCTTGGTTGGGTTGCTTTGTTTCTTCAACCGACTCCACTTCATTTTCTGTTAATAAATTTGAATCATGACCATTCAGTAATTTGAATTGCTAAAAAATCATTAAATAATAATATTTTATTTATTTATTAATATTAATAACACAAAAGATACTTTTTAATTATTAATGCATAGCAAAAATATATATATTACCTGAACCTCGGCAACAGTAGCGGTTA